GAACTACTTCTCTCGAATAAGCCAAAACTTATTGGCTTACAGCTTGAAGCAATCGTAGAATGTCCGAATTAATAAGAAATATACGAATACAACTGACCAAATTCTAATTTGTTTACTGTTCAAGCAAAAAAATTTAGACTGGCAAACTTGGCTACTTATTGACTTATTGCACTGACAATAATGTAAAAGAAAAAAGTGTTATCAGATAGTAATAGTAAGCTAATTGAGTGTATTGGTAATGTATTTGTTTAAGTTGATAATTCTATCTGATAACACTTATTCATTATCTTTTATGAGAAAATAATTATATCAAAAATAAATTTTATTAATTTGGTTATATAATCATTTCAGGTTTTTTATTCCATTCATCAACTAAGCTAAATTAATTTTACAATACTAATTGAGTGGTAATTAATGTCAAAAGTTTTTGAGATATACATTGATTGAATATCTTTTTACTTGTATACTGCTTAAAAGTAACTCAATACTTTTTACTTATACGCTTGTAAGAGTTAAATTTAGCAATACTTTAAAAAAACTTTTCAAACTTTTAAAAATAAACATATTATGGAAGTGTCGATTTACTACAAATGTGTCTTCACACAATGCGCATCCAATTTTTCTGCAATACGACCTGCCAGCGTTTCAATTTCTCGTCTATTCCAATTTCTGACACATCGTTTCAGACATTTTGGCCAAGGTAATGGCCATTCTATTTCATTTTGTAGGCGTCCCGATGGTACGTTCACTTCTAATTCATACATCGTCCAAAAGAGTAATAAACGACGGTAGGCACGTGTTCTGATACGTACGTGATGTGGTAGCAAAATGAATGAATGATAAAGACTGCAATAATAAATTACAAATTCAAAATTTTAATATTCTCTTCAACTTAACAAAGGATGGAGAAAGAACTATATGCCATTTAATATATTCATATTTATATATAAAGAACTATTAAATTATCAAGTAAATATAATGTGACATAGGTTTAGTCAGATGTTAAATTGACATTGGAAAGTTTTAATCCATTTGCAAGAGATGAAAACATAGATACCTCAATATTTTTTTGAATTTCAGAAGTTTTAAATTAAAATTTAATAAAAAAGGTTTTTAAAAACCTGAAAAAGAAACTAGACAGCCAGTAAGCAATTAATACATCAACGCTATAATGTGTTCGTGATATTGATAAGCAGATCATACCACCAATACATATTAATATTAAGCACCATCTTAAATAAGGAAAATTTTCTTTGAAAAATAAATTTTTTTTTCCTCTTCAACTCGAAATTTAAAAAAGAACTGAATTGAATTTGTGACGTTTTGAAATTTACAATTTTTGTATTAAATTTAAACTGCTAAATGAAATAAACCTAAGTGGCCAAATAGAATGTGGTGAATAATGATTGAAATAGAATGTTGTTGTAGAAACAAATATGGTATGTCCAGAAAATAAAAGATCACCACAGATTAATTTACCATTTTCACTGATCTGTAGGCCTAACTAAAATATTTCATTTTCTCTTTTTTTTTTTTTTTTTATAATTTCAACAAAGGAAATCCGAAAAATTTCGTATTTTCAAAACTAATTTATTTTGTCAAATCAAATATGAAAGCATAATGGGAAAAGAAAATTTTTATTTGGAAAAATTTCCATATTATTGTTTATAAAAATTTTGTAACAATTCTGTTTTCTGAATTTAATTGACTTGAGTTGAAAAAAAATTGAAAAATGATGTTTTGAATTTGTAAAATATGTTGACTATGCTAAAGGCCTTTTTAAATGATTCAATAATTCACTTAAACAAATTACATCAAGTGGCTTTTATAAGTAAAGTTTTTTTTTTTTTCAGAAGTATTCGAAATAATAAAATATGAAGTTATTGATACGTCTATAATTATTTCGATGTCAAATGCAAATTAATCAATATTGATATCAAATAAACTTTAGAATTTAGTTTTGAAGAATGCTTTTTGAAAAATGGAAACCTTGAAAGAATGTTGGGCAAATCGTTTCAGAACACTTAGTACTGTTACCTGATAATTTGGTTTCATACATTTACTATAAAATTTCAAAAATTTAGTGATAAAAATTTAAAAAAAAAAAATTTTATGAGATCAAAGAATGTCACCAATTATTTTACTAAATGTATAATAATTGATTTTTATAAGATAAAATTGTGAAATTACATTTGGAAAAAAAAAGAAAAAGAAAGAATTTACTGATAATTATTCTGATAACTTGCTGGAATATGAGTAACAGATAAGCAAATAGCTCGAAATGTATACAATACAGTTATTGTAAATATTAATCGACGTAAAACGATAATGCGATATCGATGAAAGACAGCGATAAATCCGAGAGCAATAATGCCAGCAATACAGGTAAGCATGTCACCAACGGCTAAAGCCCATTCCTGTTCTGGCACTAACGTAAATACCAGATCCGGTAATGCATTTCTGGATAAGATTAATTTAAATGCATCGATTTTAAAATCAAAATTTATGCTCTATCATAGATGTAATTCAAATTATTTCAATCAATCGATGAATTAAGGTGAACATTAACATTTGATTTCCAATAATTCGCTTCCTTCTTAGCTTCTTTTCTCCCGCTTACGCTTAAATTCAGAAGATAATCAAGATTGAATTAAGATTAAAGAAATGGCAAAACATATTTACTGATTCGTTCTTATGAAATTTAAAAAATTTAATAAAATTAACCAAATTAATTAAATCCAAACCTACTGGTAATATCATGTGCTAAACAAATTACAAGTTGATTTAAAATTAATGATACAAGTAATGCTAGAAAGCAAATAAATGTTTTCAAATATTCCGGTCGGTAAGTTACCAAAGATTCTTGTGCTCGTTCTTTCTTTTCAGTGTTTCCTAAAATTTTTGTTCCTTTTTTTGTCCTTTCTTTAAACTAAACGACAATAAAAGTATATCAAAAAATACATATAGAAAAGTTGTTTAACAAATTATGAAGTTTAATTTTTTTTTCAAATGAATTATGGATGAAATTAAACTTTTGTTAAAGCTTTGCATGCAATTAAGTAAACTTTATTATACAAATTTTATAATAAATACTTGCTGAAATTATTTCCCCAATTATTTACAATGTCTAAAAATCGATAACATTTAAATCTAAGATCTAAATTTACCGAAATTATTTATTAATATTTAAAACTAAATTTCTAAATAATTGATTTAATAAAAGGAAAAAGAAGATTAAATTACTTTCTGAATCAGTGCTATTATCGTCATTAAAAGCTATATTCCTAATAAAATTTGTTTCACTTTCGCTTCGTTCTATTCCTTCTCGCATTTTTCATTTCATTCAACTACTCAAAATATCTCAATACTGAAATTTACTATTAAAATTTGAAATAATAAATGCAAATTTTTAAAAGATTATTTAGCGATGTAAAAAAATTTACTGAAGCACAGAATGAGAAGACATATTAGAAAGAAATATGAAATTACTAATTTGTTTTGCTATTGGTAAAAGTTAGTTCATTTTTTATTTAAGAATAAAAAAAAGTAAATTTTAATTTATTTGTATTCCTCCACATAAATTAGTTTTTCCTTTAATTTTTTATCAATCAAGAAATGAAACAAAAAAATTTCCTTTCAATATACTTTTCTCTAACTGCAACAAATATAACAATGATCCGAGCAAAACTATTGTTAAGTTTATATTACAATGAAAAATAATTAATTTAAATGAAAAATTTAAATAAAAATGAATCATAGTAAAATGCTAGAATTTATAGTTATTGATGTGCATACAAAATCATGAAAAAAGAGAGAGAGAGAGAAAGAAGAAGTAGGTGGGAGAAAAAAAAAAGATAAAATTAATAAATGTTTATTATAAAATTTAAGAAATTTAAAAGTGCTAATTAATGGAACATATAACTTTTCCCATTTAATTTTACATCCATTTCGTTTATAAGTATTCTATTCAACAAAAACTAAAAAACTACAATATTTGGACTAACAGTGATATACGATAAGTTTAAATAATTATCATTAATCTTTTTTTTTTAAAAGGTTAGGTAGGAGTTTTTGAATTTTTGCAACTGTTTAAAAGTAATACGCATTGGATGACTTATGTAAATGATTTCCTATTGAAAGAATTTTGAGAAATTGCTTAATTTTCTAACAATTAATAGTATTATGCACAAATTTTATAGCAAAAAAATGTACTGTAGTGCAATGAAATACTACCGTATGACAATCTAATGGCATATAGTACAGCAGATAAACCATTGCAATGTTGCAATCAGGGTACTGTAACGGTATACTGTAACACAGAGAAATATTACCGCGTTACAGTATATCAGTATGTTTTAGTCGCAATATAATTTAATTTGAAATTGACTACATTAGCTCCTCAAATTCAAATTATATCTCAAAGTTAAATTTTGTACTCACAAATTCCAATCATGTACTAAATCAGAGATTTGTGCTTTTTCTCCTTTTTAATACTTACCGTTTTCGACTATTTTTTCAGAATTATCTGTAAAACATTTAACTATTGCAGTTATTTTTCATTAATTTTCCTGTGTATTTTTACATCATTCCGGACAGTAATTTTTTTAAGAAAGGGAAAGAAACAGGACATTGTAATAAGTCGGAAATTTCTATGAATTTTTGTTTATGACAAGTTTATTTATTCTTAATAATTTCTGTCTGAACAGTTATTTTTTTGTCATTTGCTTACATTTGCTATGTAAAGTATCTATCTATCATCTGGTAGTAAGAACAAACTATTCAGTTTCTTATCTTGCTTATCATTCTTTTTATCGTTTATCAATTGAGATTATGTCGTTGTAATTTATAGAAAGCAATCACTGTATTTTTTTCTTGTACTATTAAAATATATATATATAAAAGAAAGATAGAGATTATAACCAATTATACAAGCTACAAACATAGAAACAATATAAAAATAAACAATGAAGTAAACAGAACATGAAAATTTCACTAGCAAATTATGTTTTATTTCCGGAATCATTTAACGGATTGTCGAATAAATGTAAAAGATTGCTTCGTCGCGTTGCATTAGAATTTTCAACATTTGTTATTTGTCGTCGATCTGTCATCAATGATACTGCTTCATCCTTGAAGAAAATAACTCATAATCAGCTAAAACTTGAAAGCTTTATGCACTGTCAGTAATTTTTTATTTTATCACCTAACCAACATTTCAATGATAAACATTTTTTAAATCCATTGTTGTGAGATTATCTGTTTCATCTAAAAATTCAAATAAAAAATTTCAATCATAAATGGCCGAATCGATAGCAAATTAATCATAAATCTTTAAAATTAAAATTAAAAAATCCTTAACATCAAAAATCTTTAAAAAAACAAAATCTGAATTTTATCATTTCAATCTTGATGTGGAAGAAATGAAAAGATTATTTGGATGCGATATGATCAAAATTATCAAAATTAAAACTCTACTAACTTTCCAAGAGGGTATTTTTTTCTTTATCAACTTATCAATAAAATTACTTCATTTGGTTGTTGATTCCCAAAAATAGAATTCCGACGTCGTTCAATAGCGCGAATGGTGTTCCGACGTAATGTCAGACGTCTTTCACTATTAGAACGATCAACTGCTTTGTTAATTGATAGCGCAAAGAAACGTTTCCTGAATGCAGCATCAAGCGTTTCCGTTTTCGGTCGATACATTGAACGCTTGGAAGATTCTAGATTGCGAACAATATTTCGACGTGAGATTGCTTGCTCCTCCTGAAATCATTTTTAAGCTCTCCATCATTAAAATCGATGATATAATTCTAAAACACAATAAAATTTTGAAAAAGGTAACAAATGAAAAACAACTGAAAGCAAGAAATAAAGTTATAAAATATATTTTTAGATTAAAAAACAATTGTTTCAAGATGATAATTTTCAAAATAACTATACTGATGGAGCATTTTCATTGGGTTCGTCAACTCCACGGATAGCTTGTAGCTCACGTGCTATTTCAACTGCATTTTGTACAACCAATTCATCTTCCGTCAAATGATCCACACGTTTACGCCAACAAAATAATTGCGTTGACGCAATTATATGCGCCATAGTACCAAAACGATGCAATAACATTCCTATGAACTGCAAATATGATCACTAATCTCTTCTCAAAAAAAGCAAAAAAAGACTTAAAAAATTTAGAAAATACAAAAAAAAAAAACTAATGATTTGAAATAAGAAGAATAAGTGAAATAAAAACGGATTATAAAGAAATTAAAATATACTATGATAAGGATATATAAGCAAAAAACGAGATTGATTCTAGGTAAATACCTGAATGATAAGAATGGACATGAAGAAAAGTAGAAAGACTAATCCGATTGGTTCTAACTGCAATCGTGTAACTACCCAAATTGGTTCCCGAATATCCGTGTTGCATGGAATGATCGTATGATTATAACGTGGACCTAATGGCCATTCAATATGAATGCAATCTTTTTGTAATTGCAGCAAAAGTACAATAATGATAAATACGACATTTACCATAAAAAATCCTGAACAAACCTAAAAAGAAAATAAATGAAAAGTGAGAAATAATTAAAGTTTAAAAACTTTAATTATCCAATAAAGTTATATCAGTGATTGGTTAGGGTCAAAAAAATTCAAGCATAATTACATGATAAATTTGCATAAAGGTGTGTTTAAGAAGTGCTGTAAGATAATTATTATTAATTTTGACACAGGTAAATATTTTTAGCCTGAAACAGGTAAGTAACTTCAGCTTGTAATAAGTAAATATCTGCAGAGGAAGATTATACAGAAAGATGACATTTTCATCTATTTCAATAATTTATACATGCAACAAAAAAATTTAAAAAGCAAAAATAAAACATAAACTTTTGGCTTTCCTTTGCTTCTTTTTTAAAAAAAAAGCGAAGAAATTAATTTGCTAATGAATAAGTTTTAAAATAAATCAAAATTTCAATACAAATCAAACTATTCCAACCTTATTTCTTAGTAACATTAGACCATCTCTAATATTTTTCTGCTCTAACTGATTATGAATAATTGGTGTTAAATATTTATTGATAACATCATTCCAGAAAATTTCCTCATCCGGATCCAAGCAATCTTTTTCCGCTCCTCGAATGCATTTATCATTTAACCATACTTCGCTTATTTTAGAATTCCATTTACGATTACGCATAGCAGCAGCTGACTGATCAGTTATATCACGATCATCTTCTACATCTGTCTAAAAATTTAAATATAAACTTAAAAGTTTAAATTAAATTTTTTAAGTTTAAATTAAATTCTTCTGAAACTTTTGGATTAAGTTAATGCATGATAATTGTCATCTAATACATTTATTTTTTACAAAACTAAAAGTAATTAAAATAAATATCTTTTTCTTTCCTTCTTTTACCTGATCTTCCTTAATTGAATTATTCTCCCATTTAGCTAATTCTGAATTATTTGCCAGTGCTTTTGTATGAACTGTTCGAGTTGATATTGGCATTCCCGTTGATTGCAATCCAATGCAATCTAACTTATCCATCATTTCATTAACTTTACCACTTAATTGCCAAATCTATAGTAATTTTAATAATTCAATATTTAATTTTTATTTTTTTCTTATTTCATTCTTAAAACAACAAAATTATAATTCATTAATTCTGTTCCTCTATCAATATACCTGTGCTGTTTCCGCTGATTTATCTCTCAAACAACATATTAAGCGACAAGCTGCGCCACAACCAATTGCTATTTCACCGTCCGCCTAGGAAAAAATTTTTAGCATAATTAGAATAAAGCAATAATTAGTAATTACAAATAATTTTTGACAAATAATTTCAGAAAAAAAAAGTAGAAGAAAGTTAAATAAGAGTAGTAATATAATTTAATACTCAACGAATGATTAATAAAAATAAGAATAATTAAGAACAATAATCATAACGATAATAAGAGTTATTATTATTAATAAATAGTTAATTATTAATAATAATAGTAATAAGTGAACTAGCTAATAATTAAAAAGCTCGAATATTAAAGCTATAATATGTTAATTGGTTCTCAAATTTAATTATAAATTAACTCAATTAATTCATAATTATACTACTCACTTTAATTATATCATTCAAAATAAGAAAAATTATTTTTGGACAAATTTAAACCATAAAAATTTTTGCTTGAAAAGGATTGAAAAGTATGGACGTGAGAGACAGATTAAAAATTAGCGCACTATAAAATTATTTCTACAATTGAATTTGCTGAAATTTTAAAATTCGAACTCATCACATGCTCAGAATTAGTATTATATTATTCTTTTCTTTTTAGTTTTAAAACCTTTACCTCATTATTGACAGCATTATTGCTTATTAGGTCAATATGTTTGGGGCGCTTTTGTCGTATAGAATCATTTCCTTCCACTGTAATTAACAGTTACTTTCTTTCATTATATTGAGGATAGACAATTCATTTTTTTTACTTATTTGAATTATTTCGATGAGGATTTAATCATTAATGAAATTATTTGTTTACATAATTAAAAGATGAGAAATAGTTCTTTTAGAAAATTACACTTTGTGCTTAGAATTTTTTAAAATTTCAACTTTAACCTTTTGGATTTTCTCGTGTTCCCCAAGCAATATTATTCAAATTGCATAAACTATAGATTGGAAGTAACATATACATGCATGGTATTGCCAGGAAATATAGAATTCCCGGTGTTATACAGGTAAATTCTAGTGGATGTAATATAGCAGCGGTGAAGAAACTAAAGGAAAAGAAGGATTTTCCTTTTTTTTTCGAAGATTTCTTGTGATTTTATAGAATTTTGATAAACTTTTCGTAATTCCTTTTTTTTTTTTTTTTTTAAAAATTTGCGAATACTAAAATTTAATAAAATCAAAATACCTTCCAATAACAAAAAGTAAAAATATCGAATGTGGTGACATGATACCATCTTTTTGCATTTGTATTACTGTTCCAACAATTACAGCTGTCATTAGCATAGCAAATAGTGCACCGATAATTTGCGCTGCCATTAACTGAAGAAATGAATTAAACTTAAAGTAAAAATAAGCAAACAAGCTTATTAACTGAATTACCAGATTAATTAAATTAATTATACAAAATTTTGGATGCATAGAGGAAAAAATTTAACTTTAACTTTTTCTTTTCTAACATTTAAAAAAAAAAACCAAACAAAAAGAAAAAGAAATAAATCTTAAAGAAAAAGCTTTGCTTCTATCTATTTATAAAATTGGTGTGAAAATTGGTACTAATATTATTTTATTACTAAATACTTTTTTTTTTAAAAAAAAAGAAACAGTAACGGAAGGTTTATTTTTTTTTTCTTTAAGCAAAAATTTTATTGATTAATTTAAAGGAATGGATCAATCAGATATACCTGTTTCTCTGAATCACTTATAAAACACATAAAACAAAATAATGCAACTGGTAAAGTAACAATAAATAATGACAATGAAGTGTCAATATTAAATGATATGGATAAGGCACCAACAACCATCAAAAAAATTGTCCCAGGGCCAAGAATTGATGAGATTAGCATTATGCATTGATATAATATATACCTAAAATAATATTTTCAATAAAAATTGTAATTTATGTGAAAAAAAGAACAAACAAACAAACTATTAATAAGCATTTCTATCTAATGATTAGCTATAAAATAATAGAGAAATATTTGTCCTAAAAGAAAGATAAAATTTTGAGTGAAAAAAGAAAGAGAGAAAGGGAGAAAGAAAAAGAAATTTAAATGATATTGTTAAATAGAAAAAAAAAGAATCCTTTGAAATTGGTTAAGATTCTAAATAAAAATAAAAAAGTAAAGTAAATCTCAGTGGCTGATGCCAAAAAGAAATGAAGCTGTCCATAACAATTTAACCTATTATTTACAATTGGAAAAAGCTATTATCTATATTATAAAATTTTTTTAAAAACTGTAAATTTTTTTTTTGAAGTAAAAAAAATTTTTTTTTTATAAAAAATTAAATTGTTACCAAATGGAAATTGATTCATTCACATTGATAACATTCTTGTAATCTTGCAACAGATCAATAATATTTGCCAATGTAGATGGTATCCAACGACGGCGCTGATTGAAAAATTCATTGAAACCTTCTGGCGCATAAGTTAATGCGTCTGATGCTGCACAATACTCAACCCTATATGAAAAATGTTTAAAAAAGGTTTTTTTTTTTTGCTTCTTTACAAAAGTTTATTTGTAAATTTTCAATTTAATAATTAACTATTGAAAATAGAATGAAACAATTTGTTGTGTAAAAGTATCGATATCAATAAAAAGATGTGAAAATATAAATCAAACATTTTTCTATTTCTTATCAGATAATTGAACTGATAGGAAGTGTTAGTAAATTATAATAAAATTATAAGTTAGTTGCAAAATCTACCGATAACCTCGTTGTAAAAGTAAAGTACATAACCAACGATCTTCACCCTGATCATATTGAATAAAATCAACTGGGTTTTCGGCCTAAAACAGAAAAAAGAAAAAAAAATGGTAAGTTTTTTGAAGATTTGAAAGTGTTGTAAAATAATTTGCAAGCAAATGTTTAAAAATAAAAATGATTTTATCCCTACAGTAAATTAATTAATATCTCAGTTGTAAAATTTAAAAAAGAAAATTGATTAATTTCTGTTAAATAATATCTTATTGAAATTTAAAAGAAAAAAATGAAATAAAATAGCAGAACCTTAGATGCATATCGTCTAGTAACATTATCATCCATCAAAGCCAATGATCGAAATAATGAGAAGCATCCAGGTGAGCAAAGTACACAGCCAATCATATGTTCAGTTGCTTTTTGCAACCAATGTCCAATTGCATATTCAAATTTTTGATACCATATCATTAAACCTAAAATAAATTATTCTTTTAAAATTGCAAAAACAAAAAATAAATTAATTAAAAAAATGTGTTGCAAATTTTTTAAAATTATTATCCATTTAAACTTCATTTCTCTATCTCAAGAAAAGAAATTTTTCAAATTACTTTGAAATTTCAGTATTCTCAAGAGCTTTTTTTCATCTGCAACCATTACCAGTTCCACGTGGATGTATTCGACCGCACGCTGCTCCAAGACGTCGATCTTTCTTCATCAAATCGATAAGTAAATGAACACACTGAGGCGAAAAGTCCACGTCGCCATCTAAGGTTAGAATGAAAGTATTCTCTGAGATTATTTCTTTCCTCATTTCATCATCCACTTTCATCATTAATTGATAACCCAACAAATAGTATAGATACATCACCTAAATGATAAATTTTAAATAATTTAAAAATAAACCAAACTGATTAATTTATTCAAATTAAAAAAAAAAAAACTTACTAATTAGCAGCTAATTATAGTGTAAATTTTTAAAATAAAACAATTTTAAGAGTTTTAGGAATAAAAAAAATGAGGAACATTTAATATTAAAATTAAAATTTTGAGCTCAATAGCTATAAAAGAAAATAAATTTGAATTTGCAAAAATTGAATTATTTGTGAAAAAAATTTGAAGAAACTAAAAGTACAAAATTACTTGACTCCAACGTTTTCGAACGCGAATTTTTTGTTTATCTTTTAAATGTATCGTTAATCTATTCTTGCCAGGCATAATAAAACTCAATCGTCCACCATATGGAGTTGAAATTTTTTTCGGTGATTTAAGTTTCATCTGAGTTTGGTGCAAGGCACTAAAATTTATTTTATCAGCAAATCTATTTATTCCACTCAATTCTTTAAATTCAATTTTTGATTTTTAGCAAAAGAAAAAACGAAAGTAATTATAATGCATTGCAAATTCAACTAATAAATTATTTTAATAAAACCTGGCTGCTTCATCAATTTTTTCAATTAATTGTTGAACAAATTTATTAATTACAGGTTCACCATATTCGTTTATTTCAAACGCATCATCGAAAAATATATGCGCTTCGAATTCATAGTAATCTGGATCGATAATCTTTAAAAAAAAAAGAAGCAAAAAGAAAAATTATTTTCTTTTCTTTTAAATAAAAATTAAATAATATTATAATTAAAATGAAATTTTATTTTGCCAAAAAATTTTTATGTGAAATAAATACTTTAAGATATTTTTGAGCATTTCTTCGGGCGCATTGGTCCTCATCAAGACGAAAGATACTTTTCAGCATGCAAGTCATCTCGAGTGCAGTTTCATGCCACATTGTTGCACAAACGTAAATTTTTGTCACTGCATCTGCAGATGATGCCATTTCCCTTAAGAATGCAATTTATCAGTGTAATAACAGTAAGTTGATAAATTGTGATAATCAAGTAAAATATTCAAGTAAAAGTACAATGTGTCAAGTAAATAATGCGAATTTTTGGTATGAAAATGGTAATTTTTATAAATTAAAAATTTCACTAAGTGTAAAATTTTTCATCCTTATTATCAATAATTGCTAAAAATTAAGATCTCAGAAGTTTTCCATAAATTTAATTTCAAAAAATCAAAATTTTGGCAGAAAAAAAAACGGAGAGACGAGAAAATTTTATGAATTAATTATTTACTAAATAATTTTGATTAATTCAGTGGTTCAATATTTTTCGTAAATAATCAGTTCCTTAATTAATTATTGGAATAGTCAATGATTAGTCGTTTTTTTATTGATTTTTTTTAATAGATAAATATCTTTTTTTGTATTTTATTAATAGTTTAACAAACTTTATCATAGCTGTTTCGATTACTTTAGTCGTCGAATCACTTGATAGTGATGAAGCAGTGGGTTTTATATACGTCAATCCAGAATTTATGTTACGTGTTGATAAGTCTTCTACATCGAAATCCAAATCCTGAAAAAATAGAAAATTGTAAAATTTAGACTTTCAGGTTTTTATCACTTATTTTTCTAACTGATAGCACATCCTAGGAGAAAAAAAATAGCGCTTCATTGAACTATGACCTCAGTTCGAATTTTTGTTTTATCATCACATCTTCGATTTAATGCCAAACATTGATCCGTGAATAGAGCACTATTGTAGGGTAGAATGAATAGTCTTTAAAAAGCAATGATTAGGTAAAATTTCTGAAAGTTTTAAATTTAATTCTTTTACAATCTTCGAAAATAGTTTAATTTCTTGTTTCTTTTTTGAAACTTATTTTTTTATGGAAAAGAAAATTAAGCATTATATTAATGAAGCAATCACTAATTATTGTCTTTTCATTTAAAAAAAATTTAATTTTGAATTTAATAAAATTTTCACTTGGCAGTTTTAGCAAGTCTTTCATGACGTGGCCTCCAAAGATGCAATGTTATCCATAATTGCACCATTAAAATAGCAAACCAAATTTGTGTCAATGGCGAGAGGAAAAATTCCGATAAATTTTTTGCAGTATTACAACGCCAGAATAATTCCTAAAAAGTAATATCGAATAAATTCTATTAAATTTTAACAGTAAGTACGGAAGTTTTTAATTTGTATAAAAAATAAATTTAATTTTAATATAAGTATAAAAAATAAGTTTATATCAAACTAGATTATTTAAAATATTATAATTAAGTATGAATTTGAAAGCATAAGCGAAAGTTCTTTGATAACAAAATGAAACAAAAAACTTTTGAGCATTTATTATTCATTGAATTTAACTAAAAAAAAATTCATTGACAGTAAAAAACAAATTTCACTGAAAAAATGTAATTATTCCGGAAGAAAATTTTCTGTCAAAAAAAAAAAATAAGAAAAAAAAACTGTGTAATCATTTCAGAAAAATTTACTTTGGGAAGAAAATTAGTTGAATGACAAGCATCGATGTATCGCTTTCTGCACATTGCCAACAATACTGCAACAGTTGCCGGAACACTAAGTACCACAGGTAGTGCAAAACAGGTTCGTTGTAACATTACCTGAAATTTAATTAATTAATTAATTAGTCGGAAGAAAGATAAATTTATTTGATTGCATTTATTTGACAAATTTTAGCTTAATCGATTTCTTAATTAATCTATTATCGGTTAACTCAAATAAAACAGCCTAGATAAATTACGTTTAATATAGCAAAACAATAACAAAAATAAAAATAAAATAAAAATAAAATAAATTACTAAAACAAAAAACAATAAATTTCTAGAATAAAAAATTCCTAGAATTCTAGAATTACTAGAATAATTTGCTAAAATAATAATGAAAAAATTAATGAATTGCAATTTAATTCCATAAAATTAAAAAAAAGAAAAATATTTCTCAGTTATTCAAAAAGTTTTGATAAATTTAATAAAAAAATTCAATTGAACTCTAAAAACTCTTTCTCAATGATCAAAAAAAAATGAAGAAAAGAAAAGTCTGAAATTTAGATTAAAAGTTTTACCTTGCAAGCAAATTTAGAAGTGTGATAGGTAAGTATTACAGCTATAGCTTGAACAAGAACAATCCAAAGAGCATCAAATGAAGTTGTATACTGATTTAATTCTACGTAATCATCGTATATCTAAAAAAAATTTAACCATTGCATTTATTAAAAAGGGAAAATTTAAAATTTTTGATAATATCAATTATCAATTTTGATTTTGCTAATCAATAATGTTATCATAACTAATTTCTTTCGTATTATTCGAATTAATGATTAATTAAAGTGAAGAATATCAAAAACTATTGAATGTTTTTAAAATGCCAAATTTTAGCTTATCTATTTGATCGATTTTTTTGTTTATTAAATAAATAAATATTTGATAAACGAATTCTATGAGTTTTATTCGATTTCATTTATGATTAGCAAAATAATTAAGATTAAATTTAGTAAAATTAAAAATACTTTAATTATTCATACATTATAAGTATTTGGTGGTATTTCATATTCATCATCATCATCAATTGTCCGTTTCTGTCGATTTTTCGTAAATTTTTCAAACTGTTCTCTGAATGAATTCTGTGATGAATCATTTGATTCAAAATTACTATCAATATCTGTTGAATAAGGTATCATACTGTGACCATTATTATGTTTATTAATTTTTTGAGGTTGAAGTGATTGTGTTGTCGTTGATAAGACAGGTGATAAGGCAGGTAATTTGTGTTGTACTGATTGACTTTGATCAGGAAAAAATTGTGGATTATGATAGTTCCATTGATTGATTAGATTACGATTACGATAACTTTTCAATACAAGAGATGGTTTCATCATTTGCATTCCAACAAATTTCAAAGCATTTACAGATGACATTTCACCGTTCTCTAAAAGAATAAAATATTATTTACAAATCGTATCGTTGTTCTTTTTAACAACAATTTTATTTAATCAATTGCTTTAATAAACTTTTAGTGATAAAGTATGATTATGAGAAAGCAATATTAACAGATAGCATTATTGATCAAAATTTGAAACCTTGAAATGGCATGTTATAGTTTTCTATAAATTTTCTTATTTGAATCATTTTAATATCTATAATTAAATTTTGGGATAAATTTTTACTTATATAAATATGAATTTAAAATTAAGATTATACGAAATGGTTTCTTAATGATTCTTTGTTTCATAGTTTAATTTTTGATATTTGGAATTAATTGCAAATGCTATTAATGAAATTCTAATTCATTGCATTAACTGACCATTCTTAGCTATTTCAATTTTCATACGTTCATAGAATTTATTGATTTGAGTTTGATTCAAATTTCGAGCAATAATTGTTTGCAGTTTTTCTCCGAATGGATCATTTTCGAAGAGATCTTTTGATGTTAAACTAAAATTTTTTTTATTACTGTGAAATTCTAATAAAAGATTAGGATTAAATGAATAAAAGAGATCAGAAAGAGTGAAAAGAAAAAAAGAAAGGGAGAGAGAGAGAGAGAGAGACAATACTGAAGATTAGTTTTAATTTAACTATAAAAATATGATGATCATCTGATAAACAAAAGCATCGGTAGGTAAATTAAATTAAGTGGCTAAACTGAATTAATTAGATGCTGAAATAATTTTATTAAGTTAAGTTTACTTTATTAATAATTAATTTATTACTATTAATTACGACCAGTGATATTAAAATAGATTTGATTAGTATTTCTAATTTGAGACTAATTAATTTTTATTACTCATCAATTTCTAATTATAATTTTATCTATACACTTAATTAATATCGACTTGATAACAATACCGAATTAAAATATTTTTCTTTTTGTTAGTCAATCGATTAACTAACAAACGACAAGAAATATACATTTCAGATAAAGTCCAGAATTATTGGGATAGTTTAGAAATTTAAAATATAAATTAGAAAAGTATTAGCTTACTTATTGGTAAGTACTAAGAAAACCATAAGCAAATAAACGATACATTTCCAAATTGAAATTAGAACGTAAGTCTTCGAACGTCGTTCATTTAACGTTACAGCAAATCTCGCCAATGCACGAATTGGTGCTAAGGCACTTTCAATGTGTACGAAATTTTGCCACCAACCAAGCGATATTAATATCAAGCAAAATGGTAAAATAAATTTGAACTTTTGTAGTGATGCATTGAGATTCTAAAATATTAAATCATTTAACTCAGTAATTAATTAATCAATTAATTAATTCTAATATTTTGTTAATTTTTAAAGTCAATATGTTTTTTTTTTTTTTTTAAATCAGTGTTGCAAAAAATATTATAATAGTGCATGAAAGAACAAATGAAAGAGATAACTGACAACGATATCAATTCTGTAACATTTTCTAAAATTTTGATAAAATTAATAAAATAATTTTGAAGCTAAGAAAATATTAATTCATCTGATAATGATTTTAATGAAGTTCAGATGATATTAATTCAGCTGATAATAAATAATTTTTGGACTGATACAAATGTGGTGCAATAAACATGAATTTATTCAAATTCTTTCCAGAAAAACAGGTAAGTATTACATAAAGCATCCGGAATGATTCGTCCATTTTTCATTAGATCAGATGACATATCAGCTATTAGAGTCGTACTTTAAAATTAAAATTCAAGTTTTATTTTTAACTGTTACTCTAATCAATTTCCCCCAACCACTCTTCTTTTCTTCCTACTCACTTCATTATAAGGTAAATTACATTTAAATTAATTGATACTTACTTTATCAACATTTGTTATTATATAAATTTTTATGAAAAAATGTTAACAATGTTTTTACTACCAATGTTTTTGCTATGATATTTGATTAATTAATACAAAATTTCTATTTTATTCAAAATTGAATACTGTAGTTTGAAATGTTATTTCTTTGTTTTTTATAAAAAAATAAAAATTCTCACTGGAATTGTCCATAATGCGATAATTTGTACAATAATACAAAGAGTATCAATGGCCATAAGTAATATAGCTAAACGATTTGGTCGACGACTTAATAACAATAAAATGCTGGGCACGAAGCATGCAAAATTAGTAAGCATTGCTCCTATAAGTAATTAAAAACTTAATTTTAATGGCAAAATTTTAACATTTTCTATTTGTTTAACAAATTTTATTTGTATCGCAAAAAATGTTCAAAATCACTTGTCTGATAATGTTAAAATAAATTCAATTTAAAAAATTTTGCTAACCATTTAACATTTCATTTTAAATAATAGAAATAAAATAAACTGACCTGTAATAGCATCCAAATTAGGCAGTATTTTAAATGCTAATATACTAACACCAATAGCATTTAAAGTTTCCACCACAAAAACCTTTTTAATATTAAAAATATAAATGAGATTGATAGTTTGAGTGATAAAGGTGATAAGGTAAAAGTTGCAAATACGTCATTAAATGATAACTGATGCTTCTTTGTCACACTAACAAAATCTGCGAAAAAGAAAAATAAACGAAATAAATTTATCAATTCTTTAATTACTAAAATTTACAAGTAAATAATGTTTTTTTTTTTTTCCTTAATGGAAGTCAAATATACAAATATGCTTACAATAATAAATTGCGCAAATGTCGGCTTTTTGACATTGCGGAAGAAAGCTCGATGAATGGATCCGATGAAGCATTGCAGTTCCGGAATGCATAGTGAAATATATACTGCCCAAATCCATTTTACCACGTGCATTGGCAATATTTCCACCTGATTAATAGGACTTTCTGGAAATTTTCTTTTTTTTTTTGTTAAATATTTCATCAAAAATTAAAACAAATATTTGTATGTTTGTTTAATCAATTAAAATGTATTGTTGACAACTCAAATTCCGATAATTCTACAAGTTTAAGAATTTCAGCTAGAAGAAGGTGGTTTTTATAAATTTAAGTAGAAATACATTTCTGGATACTAGATCACAAGTGACTCATTCTAGATACTAGATCACAAATGATTCTCACCAGATACTAGATAAGAGGAAGATGTCACTCTGAAATAATTAAAGCAGTGACAGACTGAAGGAAAATACAGAATGTATTAATTAATTAATTAATTAATTAATCATTTGAATTACTAAATTGTTTGTTATTCATCATTTCTATCTTTGAAGTTAGTTAATTGTGAATATTAAAAAGAGATGGAAGTATGAAAGATATGCTAAAAGAATATTAATAATTTACCACCTTACTTTATACTATTGAAGGATGCATAAAGGTTAAATCGCTCTCTCTCCCATTTCCATTCTCACTTCTATCATTTTTTTTAAATTTTACTTAAAAATCATTTGTCATTTTTAAAAGTACCATTTAATTCATTTTTCAAGTACATTTAACAAATCAATATCAATAATATATGTTATATCTATAAAAATTTTAATTTATAAATATTACCTAAAGATTACTGATTGAGAGAAAAATCTTAGCATTAATTTTAATAATAATATCATAATCTTATTCTTTGTTCTTTATTGTTGATGATTAATTTATTGATAATCATTATGTCATTTTCTAATCTCGATAATGATTAATAATATTTATCGATAATCATGATCTTACCCTTTTATTACTGCTATTATTATTATTGATAACGATCACACGATCTTATCATTGTGCCTTCTAACAATATGATAAATACTTACATTTTAACTTATCATTTTACTTGAATTTTTGTTGTAAAAATTAAAATATGAATTTCGTCATCGTAACATACCGGGAATTTTGTCATTACAAATGGTCAGATTCATTTTAATGGTACCAATTGCTGAGGTCATCAGCAGAAATGTTGCTTTTGAAATGATAGCACTTAAGAGTGTTAGAATGAAGAGTACACAAAAACAGGTTATTTTTAATATCTGCAAACTCACATCGTACCAGAAACCTGAAATTACTCCAATTTTATATTCATATGAATGATTAATCTAATTCAAATTAAATTATTTAATTGCGAAGAATAGTAAAATAAAAGCGAATGGAATAAATAAATAGTTGTATAAGTTAAATCGTTAATTTTGTTTTGTTAATTTGGCTTAATAAGCAATTATTTTAAATCAAATTTATTATTGTAATTTATAGAGAATCAATTTTTCATTTTAGTAAATTTAGCCAGCTGATTTCAATAAATTTAGTTCAATTTACTTCGATAAATTTATTAAAATGTATTATTCTTTTAGCTATTAATTAAATGAGCAATTCCAGTTAAAGATATTTAATTAATTCGCTTAAATTAAATCAAATCAAGTTTTACCATGCAATGTTGTAAAGTTTTATCATAAAATGCTACAAAAAATTAATTTCAATGTTTTAACTCATTTTATTGGATTTAATTTTTAAAATTGATTATATCTAATGTGACTGCTATTCACACTTTATTTTTTTCAGTCTATGAATTAATTGCATTTTTTACGGAATATATGAAATGAATTCATACAATCCTTGTAATACTCAACAATACAATTAGGTATAATGTAATGAGTTAATTAAATATAAACTATTTTTCTCAAGTAAAATTGATGTTAAAAGTTAATTTACCTCGATTCAAATTATCCGGTGGTGGTGGTAGTAAGCGAAAAACATCCCATCCTCGTGGTACTGTTGCCCAGCTAAAAAAATAAAATTTTTAAATTTAAATATTTGCAAAAAAAAAAAATTTTTTGAGTGATAAATAAAATTGGATTTTCAAACTTACGAGAAAGTTTCTAATTTGCAATTTTTACTTCCAATAGGTTGAACATTTGATGTATATGAATCACTCGGGGTTATAGGTAATGAAAAACCATATGATCGTTTATACATATTTGAATGATTAAAATTATTGCAAGTAATATTAGATCGTGAGATATTATTTGCCTCAATCATTGCACCCATAATATGACTTTTCGGCTTACCCATTTCAAATAACAATTTAATAACTATAAAATTGAATTAATGAATAGAAATAAATGGAAAAATATGGGAGAATGAATTAAATTTATAACTAACATAGAATACATTAAGCATTATATATAATACATAGTATATTACTTTAAAAGAAATGGAATTGTACAATTTCTATTCATAAGTATATAATTTATTTAAATAGCATTTTATTAGGAATGAATGAATTTAATATCGTTGCTACAGTCTATATAAGGGCAATTATTTGAAAACTTGAAATTTTGTTAGGTAATAAAAAAATGAAAAATACTTGAAATAACAACAATGAATACTATAGCATTGTTTTTTTTTTTAATAATGGTACTAGTAAGACTAGTTTTTATTCTAACAATGATAATAATAATTGTTATTGTCATAGCAAAAGTATATAGTAATAAATGTTATTATTATTGTGGAAGTAATAATAGTACTAGCAAATGTTGCTCATTTTTTCACAACAATAGGTTATACCTATTGTTGCTGTTTTTATAGTAACAATAGCACAGGTAAATATTGTTTTTGGTACTATTATAGTTATTGCTATTGTTGCAGTAATAATGGTGCCAATAGGGATTGTTATTGTTGTTGCTCTTATTGTCGTTGTTATTGTTGTTGTTACAGTAATAACAGTGCTAATAGGTCTTGTTTTCCTATTGCTGATAAGCGCTAATAGTATTATTTTTATTTTTATTATTATTATTATTATTATTATTATTATTATTATATTTAGTAATAATAGTAATGAGACAAGTAAATGATTGCTAGAAGTGATTTGATCTAAATATGTGAAGAGGAGGAGAATGAATTGATCAGTTTCTATTAATCGTTTTTTTCTTTTTTTTTTTTTTTGCTTCCTCTCAATTTTAATTTAAAATCAAAAAATTATTTTTTTTTTTGTTCAATTTATTCTCAGTTTGTTGTTTATATTTTTTCCGTCATCAAATGAAAACATAGAAATATGAATGAGATAGTACTGTTAAACTTGTTCAGAGATTGAATCATCCAGAGAAAATAGAAGAAAGAAATCTGGATTTGAATTCAAAATAAAGTAAGAGATGTGTAAATTCAATCCAGATTTACTTACCAGATGTTTGCTATCTGTTGATGATCACATTTTAAAGTTAGGTAAAAGCAAAAAAAAAAAAGAAATGAAAGAGAGAGAAAGAAAGAGAGAGAGAGAGAGAGAGAGAGAGAAAGGTAGAAATGATCAAATTTCAATAGAAAGGAAATAAATAAGATTTTAGGAATACATAGGCGTAAATAACTTACAAAAATTAAAAGTTTAATAATCAAAGTCAACTTTTTGCCCTTCTTCCATTAATTAATTGTTTAAAAATTTACGCAATATGATTTGTGCTAAACATAGAAATAAATTAATTATTCATATTATTATCATTTTAACTATCATATCAGTATTAAATTTTATCATCAGTTTAAAAAAATGGAACTGCTGTAACATCGTATTAGAAAAATTCTAAATATCACTTTTATCCTTATCAATATCATAATTCTTTTTCTTATCAGCTATATTGCTACTTTTTTTTTATAATATGTTATTATATATCTAAAGTATTCAGATGTTAAATTTTGCTTATGGATAAAATAGTTTTAATCTGTTGCTTAATATATCACAAAGTATTTTTAACTGCTGTCAAAGTAATGTGAAAGTTATTCAAATCAGTAGCATTATATTTGAAAGAATGAATGATCTATCAGATGAAATTCTCTTAAATTTATTACTCTAACATTTATTTGCTGAAAATTTGTAAAGTATATTAGTATTTTTTTTTTAATTTATTGTTAAAAATAATCTTTGTTGTTATATTCCAAAAGCATTTAGGCGCACATATTTGCAGGTTATTTTACATTTGCGCATAAATTTTTAGTTAATCAAATTACTAGCTTACTATTATTCTTTCATTAATTTCATTATTCTTTCATTAAATTGTTTGCTAATTATTATAATTGAAGTAAAAAAAAATATATTATAGCCTCTTTCTTGAGGACTTTTCAATTGCTAATTAATTAGAGTGGTAAAAATTTCATATTTCATTAACATCGATAACATTTATCGTCTCATATACAATAGTTTTCTGATAAATAAGTAATTTTAAAAAAAGATGAAACTGTATTGAAATGAATAATTGGAATTAAAACTAAACATCTTTAATTTTTTTTTAAATTAAGTAAGAAAATTTTTTGAAGTCCAATCATTTCATATTCAGATTTTCAAAAAAAAAAAAAGATTTTTTTTTTCCTAAAGGTTTTAATTAATGTTTTGAATGATAATTTATTGTCAGTGCGCTTTTGTTCACAATCACAAGTTAAACTCCATTACAGTTATATTCTATTTATTATAGCTATAATATACTTTTTCTAAATATTAATCAGCTGATACTAATTAAATATATTAACCAATTTAACATTACATTTTAGTTTGCATTTTTATTTCCAACAAAATTAATTTATATAATTAAGAATAAATTACTTTTATTAAATTTTATCCGACTAATCTATGTCAATTAACATTACAATAATTTTAATTTATTCATTCATTTTCTTCAACTATTAAAATATTTTTATTAGAATTTTCTCAGAAACGTCACTGCTGCACTTAAAAAAAAGATAACGGAAATAGCAAAGTGATAAAGTGATAGTATATTAAAAGAGAAACAATTCATTTATGCTAAATTGCTAACTTAAATGATAAAAATGTTTACCTATTAGAATTTGGATTAGGACGATCAATTTTTTGTTTACTTGTCGTATGTGAAATTATTGTTTGACTATCATCGGAACTCTGTCTCGAACGAGATTCATTCTAAAATTTGATAAATATTTATAAAATACATTTGTTGCCACTTTCCATTTATTTAATTTAAAACTTTTCAAATTTCTATGATATATTTTTTAAAAATATTTTTTAATATATCTTTTCATTCTTTTACTTATATGAATAGATGAATACTTTAGAATAATAATTTATTTAAACTTTTTTTATTTAAATAATAATTATTATTGATTAAAGGTATGCAATTAAAGATATTTATTAATCGGTGCAATAATATTTTTTATTCGAAATATTAATGAATTAATTTATTTATTAACTCATTTATTATTATTAAATCACTTTAGTACCTTCTTATATCGTCCAGCATAACTGATCAGTGTTGGTTCATCATCATTTGCATCGATTGGTACATATGCATATTTTGAATCCTGACAGAAAAGAAAAAAATTACAAATTTTTAGTATCAAATATTTTAGAATATATTTTGGTATCTTAAAAAAAAAATTAAACAACAATGCAATATTGAAATAAATAAAAAAAAAAACAAAGAAAATTCAATTAATATATGAAAAGAATAAGTTAAAATAGAAAAAACTAATAAGATAATTTTAATTATTGTGGTTTTATTATAAATAATCTTATTAAAAATACTTGTTAAAAATTATTAAAAATCAATTTACAACTTAGTAAAAATCATGATAATCAATTTATGCAAACATTGAATTATTTTAAGCGAAAGCATATTAATAGAGAAAGGAATATAAATTGTATTAATAATTAAAAATGTTTTTTTTTTCTTTTGTTACTTGAAAAATCTTATTTATTATTTATAATTTTAATTATTAACCAATAAAGTTTTTAAAAAAAATTACTGATAAAAAAATGAAAATTATTATTAACAAATATATTATGTGCAATTAAATTATTTCAAATTAATAAATTGTTTTATTAAATTATTTCAACAATTGTAATTGAATTATTATAACATAAAATTTTGATAAATTAACAAGGTCTGATGTACAAATTGGTATAGGTTATATAATTACCAAATACTTTTTTATTCTCAATTAAATTATTATAATAATGAAATTTATTATTAATAAACACATAATACTATGGTTTAGTATTCAAAAAATATATAAGTCATATGGTAAATAAATTACTTTAACTATTATTTTAATTAAATTATTGTGGCAACAAAATTTATTTTACCTAATTATTAATACACATTAATAAGGTTTAATTCAAAAAAAAAAAAAAAATTCATCAGTGAAAGTTAATTAACTTCAATATTAGAAGATAAAAGGTTGGGAATAAAAAGTTTTGCAATGAAAAAATACCTTTTCATTAAAGATTCGCTTATTAGTAATCTTATTTGATATCATTGTTATTATTAAATTGATGAAATTGAATATTTCGCTGTCAATTTGTCACCTCACCTGTCACCTGTCACCTTAATAAATACTTCTATTAGAAGCGATTGAAATCAAATGGAAATAGTAAGAAATAATAAAATAGATTAATGTGCAATTCGTGTGCATGCGTGTGTGTGCGTGCGTGTGTGTGCGTGTATGTCTGTGTGCGTGCGTGTGTGTCTGTGTGCATATGCGTGCAAATAATTTGGCAAAGTTAAAAAGCGAACAGAAATATATTCAAGAAGAATAGCTTAAACTTAACAAATAGCAAATAAACATATGACAAATTGAAATGTTAACAAAAAATGAAAAAAGTTTCGTTCTGTTCTGCAACAAACATTGTGCAATTATTGATGAATTATTTGTTAAATATTTCAAAGTTTTATTAAAAATTAAAAAAAAAAAGCAAAACCATCTGCATTTCTCTTTTTTTCTACATTTTATTTACATAGCTACTAGTATTTTTTGTTAAATTGTTTGAAAATGTTGAAATTGTCAATTGTTTGCTAAAAAAAATTTTTTTTTAAAGGAAATACTTTGATATTTTTTTTTATAAAAATCAACCATCCGATGATGATTCATACTTCTTCTGTTTGTGAAATGCCTCAAACTCATCAATTCATTCAATTTTTCACAGGTATGTAATTCTATCATCCATTGGTAATATAAAGAAAGCAAAGAAAAAAAGTAAAAAGAATAAGAAGCAGAAACAGATAAATACTTAAGTAATTTATATTCTAAAAAATTTGAATTTAATAATTTTGGGTAATATTTTTAATTCTATACTTTTGCACTACTTATAATTTAATTTTTTCTTTTCATTCCTTTTAGTGAAATAACTTCATATATCTTTTTATTTTCTTATTCGTTTCCAAATTTTTCACTGACAAACACATACCTGAAATGAACATAATATAATTAAAATTATAATTCTGTTTGTTTCGTTATTAAATTATAATGATACAAGCAGATATTTCACAGTAATTATTTAAAATGATGATTTAAAAGTATGATTTTGGCACTAACTTCATTTAGGCATTTTATTTATATCCTTTAATACCCAAGTATTTGCATTCCTATTGATATCTTTTTCAAATTTTCACATAATTTAGTTGAAAATCAAAATTTCATTAATGAATTATTTCCTAGTTTAGGCATTTAAGTTTGGAACAGAGTGAAAATTGCAGTTTAATGTTTTTTTTTCACTTTGTTTGTTATTTTATCAAGCTTCTTAGGGTATTTTTTTAATCAATTCGCTAATTAATTATGGCGCTAATTATCCTCTATTCATTTTTATTTACCCATTTTATTAAATACTAAAAATTAATAAACATATTAATTTTGAAATGTTAATAGAAAACAGCTTAATAAGAAAAAAAGAAGAAAATGAGCTTTCAATCTGCACTGATGATTTTACTTGTTCATATTAAAATTTAAAGTATTGCACCACTTCTCCTCGTTTTCATCCATCTTTTCTCTCTCTCTCTCTCTCTCTCTCCAATTTTAATTTAATTAATCATCAATCAAAAAATTAAGTGAATGCAAAGAATTTCATACTTATATTTTTATCTTTTAATGAAATATAATTCATTCCTTTTTTATAAATCAAAATACAGCAAAAAGAGAAAAAACATGAGAAATTAGTAATATGAATTACTTTAACTTTCCATTAATTAGTAAATTCTGCTTCAATCATTCTTTCTTTTTCATATCAAATGATTCGTTTGCTTTTATTTTATTAAAAAAAAATTTATTTCCTTTCCTTCAAAAAGTCCTTTCTTTTTTTTCAAATTTTTTTTTTTTGCAGACAATTCAATTCAATGACTTTTAAAACAAAGCAAAAAAAAAAAATTCATCTGTTTTGCATTGATTTATATTTATTATACTGTGTTTTATCAACTATTAACGATGTGAGAAATTAAAATAGAATCTTTCAATTTCAAATTAATATTTAATTTAATATTAATATCAATATATTGACATAAGATGAAAGAGTCTTTAAACTTTTTCTTTTAAAAAAAACTTTAGTACTGTAAGCATTTCTTATTAATTAATGTTAATAGAATTTAGAAAGAAAAAAAAAGTGAAAAATAGAGTTTCAATTATTTCTTATGATCATATTTCTTTTATTAAATTAACAAACAACTAAAAAATCTTAAATAATGCTATTAATTAGAATGATTTTCGACCGTAGTACAATTAATCATTTATTTATTATCACTTTCTTTTTTGCATAATATTTTAAATCTTTAAAACTTTTAATTTTTTCAAAATTTATCGCTTTTGATTAGCAAAAATTTTTCAGATGATCTGGCTGAATCATAAATGTTATGACAACAATAAACAAATATTATTTCTATTTATTTGTTTAACAAACTACAGTAACATATTATATAGCTCCCAAACATTATAGTAATATCATTAATTATTAGCAAATTAATTTACTTACAAAAAGAAAATTTATTTTTGCTATAAATGATTATTAAGATCCATGGGTAATTAGTTCATTTGAACTGCTATGAAATGAGCAGTAACATTAAATTTGTTAATTTTCTAATTTAAATTTAATTTTCTTTAAAAAAAGTGCATAGCATATTCAGAGTAAAATATAAAACCAAATAAATCAAATGGATAAATTGAATTTTGTTGTATTTTCTTGCAAATACTAAGAAATTTTGAAAATGATCTGAATGATAAAAATATACTACTTGCGTAGTAATCAATCTTCATTATTATGGTCACTTGAATAAATAAATTTTGTATAATCCAAATTGAAGATTAGAAAAAAAAACTTTAAAAATGAATGAAATTCAAAAAAAGCTTACAGTGAACAAATATGAACGAAAAAGAAAGGATAAAACTAGATATTATAATATTGCGTTATGTTAATAAATATGTGAATTTGAATGAATAACACCAATGTTATTAATATTATTTTCTTTTTTCTTCTTTTAAACGGTTTTGATTAAGTCACTCTTATATATCTAAATTAATCATGAACTAAATCAATAATTCGATATGCTACTAAGTAATTTACCACCAAGTAATTTTATCAAGTAAACTTGTATGATGTAAATAATATTAGCATAAATAATCTAATGCAAAAAAAAGAAAAATATCAGGAGAAAAAAAAAAGATACATGAAGATGGATTTAATAGTTTAATATTGGAAAAGGAGAAGGAAAAAAGATTGTTTAGTAAAGTTAATTGATCGTACGAATAAATTTCGAATAATTAACAAACGTTCTTTTTTTGTATATAAGTGGATAATTTAATGTAGGAAAAAAATAGCAAACATTAGATATTATGAATGTATGCCAAAAAAGCAATAGCGATCAAACTGATAATCATTATCAGCGAGCATGTAAAGTTCATTAATCATTGTTTATAACAAATAATAATCTATGGAATTTACTATTTCATCAAATTATCAACTTGTTAAATAACATTTCTTCGTTTAGCATCTAACATGAACGTTCCATCCACCATCTGACTTGCTCTTCATTTCAACCTAATTTCAAATTGAGCCACAGGATAAAATTCAGCTAGCTTAATGCGTCATTCGTTTATCTCTACTACATTCATTTATCAGTGTTAGTGGAGTTAATATGATCAGAAAATTCACGAATTTTTTTCTCCAATACCACATTTTCTTCCTACTACATTTTATTTCTCATCCTAAAAAAACAAAAAAAAATTTCAACATTTAAATCTCAGAAATTCGCTATAATAATTTCAAGTGATAACACATGCTTGATGATTATTTCTCTAACATATGTTTGTGATTTGTAAAACTGAAACGACATATCGTTAGAGGGAAAGAATTTTTAGAGGCAAAAAGGATGAAGAAAAAGATAAATTTTATTCTCTTTATTTGATCGATAATTAATAATTACAGCTCAAAACTTCGGAAAAAAGATGATCGAAAATCAATAAATTTTTTATCAATTTAAATAAAAATGAATATTTTTAAAAATAAAGAGAGAATATGAAAGTGCAAAATGGAGAAGGATAGCATGAAGAAGAATGAAGTGGAAAAAAGACACATTACAAAGTAGAACAAAATAAAACGAAATGTTTTTCAAAATAAAAAAGTTGATGGCAATAAAACGAACGACAAGAGCATACAGAGAAATAATCTTGAATTTTGACAAGAAAAAAATCGATTTTTAGTTTTAAATTAACCGAAAAACAGCAGAATCCTACGAAGTATGTAAGCTATTGTAGATATCAAGCATATATAATTAAATGATTTGCTTAAAAGAACAATAGCAGTTCCAAAAAATACTGTAATTCTTTTGTCAAATATTTCAGTGAAATATGCTACTCACAAAAATGGAATCAACCACTGCTTTTGCAACCAAGTTAAAAACTCACAACTCTGCTTATATTTAAAACAAGTAAATCATGCTTCTTGCAGTTCCGAATGCTTTTGCTGAACGTGGCGAGCAAATGTCTTTGCAACTAAGAGCGGGAAAACAAGTGTTGCATCAGCGTATATTTTGACTGGTCTACAATCACTTCTGACTTTACCCCAACTTACAGCTTCATCCGGACGAGCACCTGAATCACTTCCATCAAATTCCTAAACAAAAATTTGATCAACAAATCCATTGAAGTAAAATTCAAACAAAACGCATCAAATAAAGTCGAAAACTGTTTCAATTTCTTGCAACAATATGCGAGAGGATTTTCAGCAAATTTATCGAGAATTCATTTTTAAATGCGAAAAAAGAAAAAATTAAAGAAAACCTGGCCAGTATTCACATATACCGCATAATCAGAACCATTTCGCATAAGATTAGCATTATTGATATGATGTTTCATAACACCACCACCAAGAAGTATTACGCCAGTACGATTTGATCGTAGAGCCATTGTATTGATATGACGCAAGTCCTAACAAGAAACATATATATTGCTATTTTATCACTTTTACTGTTATCTCTTATTTACTAAGCAACTCTAGT